GAGAGAACTGAGCAGGGTAGAAGAAAGAGGTACAGGTGTAGAATACAGAGGGAGCTGTACATTGGATCTTGCATAGTACAGGTTTGTCAGTTGTGCTTTAGATGCTGTGTTGATGACTCGTCTGTCTGTACAGAGATTTTAATGCCCTGCTCTGGAACAGTAGCACCATGTGACGTCTTTACATCGTCCGAACTTTCGAGTGGAGGTCTGACTTTCTGCGTGGATGCTGCAGCTGATGATGATAAGCTCACTGTCAGTCTCGTGGTATCATAAACAACAATGAGCAGCCCTTTAATGATGGTGGCCGCGCCTGTGCCTCTGCCCGTTGGTCCTACAGCAGCTACGGAGCCCCGCCTGCTGTCAGAGTGGCGTACAGCGGACACCGTGCGTTGCAGAAACACAAACAGGAAGGCACGTGTCACAATGGACCCCCGGAAGGGAGGCTTGGCGTGCTCTCAGACATGGGCGGAGCCTCTGTGGTGATGGGGCAACAGGATGGGTGGGGTTATTGCTTTGAGGGCGTTGCCGGGGCAACTGAGGCTGCTGTGGCCGCGGTTGAGCAGCAGGGCGGTGGGAGGGTCTGGCCGAGGCGGGATGAACACGGGGCAGGAGCGTGTGCGTGCGTGGCTTTTCTGGCCTCCGGCGTGGCAGATGAGCTCGCTGACGGTGCCCAGCGGAGGCAGGTGCTGGCGCCAGCGCTCGGCCCGGTCCTCCTTGTGCTTGATAGAGTACCAGGTGAGGAAGATGAAGATGAAGCCGACGAACTTGAGGCTGGCGGCGAGGCCGAAGTAGACGAAGCGGAACGAGGTGACGTCGTACTCCCAGCAGGAGCCGTGCACGCCGCAGTCCTGCTGCCACAACATGCAGGTGGTGTCGATCACAGCACCGAAGTAGATAGGCGTGGGGATGTAGGCTGAGGGAGCAGAGAGATTAATAACCTTAATGACCTGTGCCCCAATTCCAAAATACATACTCATTCTTTTAGTGTTTTGATTAATTGATTATTTTTATAGTTTGTTTTTACATTTTCTCAAAATGGGTGAAGCTCAGCTGGAAAAAGATGATGTAATTTGAAGGGCTTATGTCACCAAAATCAAACCACACCCACCCAGTCCTGATGAGTTTGAGTGTTAACAAAGAATGACTTTGTTTTGTAGCTTGTTCAGCTTATTTCATCTTAAAGAGAAATACTTAAAGCCCCTGAAAACTCGATTTCAAATCTTAAGTTACTCTATACACCCATGATTTGTGAGGGTGCTGTTGATACACACTATTGCGTCACAATACAAAACAAATGGAAAATCCTAGTATTAAATCTATGGCATTTCTGAAAGCTTCGTATTTGTAAAGTTTACATGCATATTGTATCATTTCCTTAGTACAACACAGTAAAGTGCATTGATTCAATGTATACTTGCTGCAAAAACACTAGATTATGACAAATTGCATTAGCTCATTGGATACAGTTTGGAAATTGAGATACAGCACTAAAATGATATTAGGTTGACTGTATTGTAACACTTTTATTCTACCACTTGGTGGCACCATTTCATGCAGATCAGAGGCCGGTCTTATACCCTTATAATGGAAGTGGACAAAATAATAGAAACACCTTTTAAAATAATTAATCCAATACAGCACAATCATTAACTACAGCCTTAAAAAGAAAAAGACATCTCTCTGACACAAAAACGGACCATTAGTGACTTTATGAATGTAACAAAGTAACTTATAACCTAGGTTTTTAGATCCAGCTGTATAACCACAAAAATATACACTCCCTTCGCACTGACCCCACACACCCACACCTTGAGAAGGTCTGTGACAGCTTTATGTTCACACAGCCATACCAAGCAGATCACAGGCATGTTAGGGCAGCGTTCACCAACCCTTAGGGCTGTTCTACACTTTTCTACACAGAGTTCACAGAGGATCATTACAGTGCTGCATCCCTGCTCTCTTTAAAATTGCAGGTTGTTAGCACGGACAAGAGACAGAATTAGAGCCGGAGAAAACAGAGCGTTAGAAAAATGGATTACAGACCAGCTGGAAAAGCTTCAACAATAAAAAGATGAAAGAGATGAAACGTGACTGCCTGCACGATGTGTGCCAAATCCTTAAACTGCTCAGGTGGCCATTTACTGTCCGAATATTGAAACATTTATTACAAATAAATTACTTTTACTAAATTACCCTTTGTGCTTTCTGAAAATCTTTTAACCTTTAACCCACTGACCAAAGTAGATACAATAGTGTTAATCCAATGCACAAGGCCACAAAAAATTGTCCGTGGTTCTAATATGTTCATCATAGAGCAAACATTCAGGAACTTACCAAGAGTTCGGAGCAAGACGAACTGCATCCCAAGAGCAAAAGGCCTCTCCTGTTCATCAACAGACCTGAGAAAGGGGAAACAGCACATAAATGATACAGATTCACTGCACTGCATCCACATAAAAGGATGCAGGAAATAAAACGTCCCATCTATTACTCTGTTCAAACAGACAGAAGACTATAAGCCTTCTAAGCAGCGGGGACACAAAGTGAGACCAACAAATGACTCACTCCTGCAGAAAGAGGACAAATTAGACTCCCTGACAACGGTTAGCAGATGACCGGTCCCCTTACCTGAGTGTGACGATGATGGCGGAGGGCTGGGCACAGGCGGTGATGAGAGTGACGATGAAGAGGAAGATAAGGAAAGGGATGAGGGTGTTGCAGGTGCGGTCGCACTTCCCTGACACGGCATAGCCGTTCTCGTTCAGGTAGGTTTTAACAATGACCAGCTGGAGCTGGTTGACCTGGCCACCGGAGGACGGAGTGATCACCTGTCTGCTCTGCACACAGCCACAGTCGGTGTAGTTCCTAATCTGTAGTCCAAAACACATACTGTCAATTCTCTTATTAAAGTCAGACTCGAAATTAAAGCTAATTCCAGTAAAAGACTGTTGATATTGTAGCTACATTGTAAAATGTAGAAAATATAATGTAATGTAAATTCAGACACAGACAGACAGACTGGGTGGCACCATTTCCTTTCCTCCTGTTGTTATAATTTCCAATCTGACATTGTGGGGTATGACACTTCCTGTACTTTCAGAGCCATGGGACAATGTACAGAGAACAGGTCTTTGTGTATTCATTATGATAAATGTGTCCTTGAGGAAAGTTCTAAAATCATTCTCATCAATCCCTTTTTATTCTATTTGATGTATAAATGGCGACATTGCAATTATATCTGAGACAGGAAAACAATGAAGCTATGAGTGCAGCAAGGTGT